TACGACCTTGACCTTTCAGGACTGTAGCAGCTACGACCTTGACCCTTCAGAAGAGCTACAGCTACGACTTCTAGAACTCACTAAGACCTCTATCCTACAGGTCTACAGATCGAACCCCTACAACCTACGGACCTAAGACAGCCTACCAACTGTTGCGAATACACAGGTCACGGGTTCAACTCTCGGAGTCGACACAGATACTGTACACAGGTAAGGTAAGAACTAGGGATCGAGCCCTGGGATCTGCATTCGCTACTGCTAACAGGTGAATACCGTTTCAATAAGAAAGAGAAGACGAAAAAGAAGAAGAAAAAGAAGAAGAAAAAGAAGAAGAAAAAGAAGAAGAAAAAGAAGAAGAAAAAGAAGAAAAAGGAGAAGAAGGAGAAGGAGAAGGAAAGGAAGAAGAATAGGAAGCCGCTTAAGGGGAAGAAGAAGTTTGTGATGCTCGGACTGATGCGCGGGAAGATTTACCAAAGCAAGTAGCAACCTGTCAAGTAGGAACGGAGAATCAGGAGGGATCCAAAAAATGGGGGGTTAAGCATCCTTAAAAAACGAGAACGCAGGAATAAGGGCCCATATGATTTGGAAGGAGGGGGAACATTCGGTGAGTTTGTCATCCATGCAGGGAGAAAATCCACATCTTTTGCTTTGAAACAGACGTGCTCATCTACTTGTGGCAAGTCAGAGGGTACAGATATTGTGGAATCCATTCTTTGTACATGATGGACAGGGGGAGAACCAACCACTGCATCGGAATCAAACTTAACGATATCACCAAATTTGTCAGAGATCTCATGACATGAGCATTCAATTTTCTTGAGCCTGCAATAAGAACAAAAGTTATGCAAAGTTGCAAACAACAATCGGAACTTATATTTTTGGTCCAGACTACTCTCAACCTTCTTTTTTTTTTTTTTTTTTTTTTTGAAAGAGCACCCGAGCTGAAGCTAGGGGTGCTGATAACAGCAGACACCACTAGCACCGTCGGAGAGGCTCCATCTATTGGTGGGGAGTGGCACCTGCTGAAAATCGGGTCCAGCGTCCCAGAACATTGTAATTGTAATTGTTTGTGTGATCAGACCTGCAATTGAAATGTCCGCAAGCTACCCAGGTCCACCTACTCAAAATGAAGCTCAGACCTACATAGCAGTCTGAGCTGCTTGCCTGCATGACAGTCTATGGTGAATGCTGATAAGCCCCGGTTTTATGACTACTGCTAGAGGACCAGACATGCATTTTTTAAATCAGTGAGCCACCAGGCTGATCTACAACAGTGAAGTTTGGCAGATAGAATTACAGGCCAGTTTGAGTTACTTGCTTACACTACGGTCTATGGTGAGTGATAGCATACACAGGTCTCCTGACTGTTGCTAGGAGAATTAGTAGCCGCTGCTTGCCTGCATGACAGTCTATGGTGAATGCTGAATGCTGGTATGCCCCCGTATCATGACTACAGTAACTGGTAGAGGATCAGACATGCATTTTTTAAATCAGTGAGCTGCCAGGCTGATCTACAAAAGTGAAGTGTGGCAGATAGAATTACAGGACAGTCTGAGTTACTTGCTTATACGACAGTCTATGATGAGTGATACCATACACAGGTCTCCTGACTGTTGCTAGAAGAATTAGTAGCCGATTGTAAGCAATGCTCTGCTACACCCCAGTCATTCGACCACTGGCCTGTTGTTGTTGTAGTTTTTGTTCAAGTGTTTCTGAGATTTGTATCCCAATCCTGGGGGGCAGCACCTGCCACGGGACTCCGATCAGCTGTCCTGTCGAACTCCAAGAGATGCCACCCCATCAGTTATGAGAAGCCACTACTCCGCTCTGTTCCCGTGCAGCGTGGCGAGCTTCAGCCCCTGTACTGAGCAGGCTGCCAACAGCGAGCTTTCTCCCCTGTACTGAGCAGGCTATGGCAAGCTACTAGGAGGGAAGCCATAGTTATGGTGGACTGTTGTTGTTGTTGTTGTTGTTGAGTCAACAGTAAGAGGGAACTTCGGATATTGATTCTGGTTCATCCACTCATTGTTATTATTATTGGGAGAAGAATAAGATTGGTGAATTGAAGGAGGAGGAGGAAGGTGGAGAGAGAAGGGGGAATTGTCATTGGTCTTGCTGGTGTACATCATTGGGTGGCATTGTCTTTCATTGTGAATTTGCACTTTGGGAATGACCAGGATCGTAACAAAAAACAAAGATGGAGCTGCGTTTTCTTGAGGATGGTGAACACTTCCTCAATGTGCTGAAAATCAGAATGTCATCCAGGTACACAGCCACAAATCGATCAATTTGTTCGCGGAGGACCTTGTCCATAAGACTTTAAAAGGTGGGTGTTGCGTTTGTGAGACCGAAGGGCATTACAGTGAATTCGTAAAGCCCATCGCTTGTTTGTAACGCAGTCTTATGCTGATCTGGAGGATCGACTTCAATCTGGTGGTATCCAGACTTTAGATCGATCTTGGAAAAGACCTTGCATCCACGTGCAACATCAAGCAAATCATCTATGAGTGGCAATGGGTAAGCATTCTTCCTTGTGATGCGGTTTAGACCGCGGTAAGCAATACACATATGGAGTTTGCCTCCTTTCTTGGGGATAAATAGAATGAGTGCACCGAATTCAGATTCACTAGGTTTAATCTCTCTCTTGTCAATCATCTCATCAATCTGTTTTCAAAGTTCCTCCAACTCGCCGGATCTCATACGGTATACACAACCTCTTGGGGAGCAACGCCGTCGACCAACTCAACCGTGTGTTTGACCGATCGCGTGAGAATTTCACGGGGTTCGGCCACAACTTTCGGAAATCAGCCGAGCAGGTTTTGGGTGCTTGTTGGGATCGGTGAGGTTGGGGGATCAAAAAAAGGATCACCTAGATTAGGTCGAAAATTTTGAGTAAAGGAAATCGAATCCGAAGTAGACTCATTTGGAATAGAAGTGAAGAAGTAGAAACACTTGAAGTGGGCATATTAGGCAAACTAGGATTTGTACTAGCCGCAAAAGTAGAAGGCACATGAATAAGACAAACACAAGCAATATACAATTGTTCTTCTTTCTTGTGCTTGTGTCATTTCTTGC